CCGCAGTTTTTAGAGGCGCTTCCAGGCAACTGTTTAAGATAGCGAGCTAGGACCTCACCCTGCCTGGTGCTTCGTGACTCGTGCAGGTACTCAGACCCCAGCCTGTGGACAGCTTACCTGGGCCTGACCGACCAAAGCAACCGCAGCGGCACCAACGTGCAAACACGGAAAATCAAGCGCATCATCTCCCACCCCTTGTTCAACGACTACACCTTCGACTACGACATTGCTGTGATGGAGCTGCAGCACCCCGTCACCTTCTCCTCCGTTGTCAAGCCCATCTGCCTGCCCGATAGCACCCACAACTTCCCTGTGGGCAAGGACCTGTGGGTGACTGGATGGGGAGCGACTGTGGAAGGCGGTGAGCGCGAGCGTTGCCTTTTGCGAATTTGGGGCTGCGTTTTCACGTCTGGCTTTAGGGACGAGGGGGGCTGGCTGGACACAATTTAAATGTATTTAGTTGCCTCAAGATGGGAATTAAATGCGATTCTCTCAGGAGCGCACAAAGTTTACATCTCAGTCCTGTAATGGAAAAATCGGGTTCTGGCAATGGGGATTTAGTCAGTTGTTCAGAGCCCGAAGGAAGCGACATGCTGCCTTAAAAAAAAAAAAAAAGCCATGCGCTTTTCCTCACGCCGCCCTTCCCTCCTTGCAGGCAGCGGAGCCTCCATCTTGCAGAAAGCAGAAATCCGGCTCATCAACCAGACGGTGTGCAACCAGCTGCTGACGGACCAGGTGACGGAGCACATGATGTGCGTGGGGATCCTGACGGGCGGCGTGGACGCCTGCCAGGTAAGGCAGCAGCAGCAGCACTCAGGTTTATTGCTGTTAGGAGGAGCTGCAGTTAGGATGACATGCCCTTTGCTATTCTGGCGCTTCTGCTTGTATTCCCATACTTAAAAATCAACAACTCTACATGGATCCGCCTTGCTTTGGACAAATTGGGATGGACACGAGCAGCAAATTGTGTCAACACATGACCTTGGTTCTCCTTTCGAGTCTTTTGCTGGCACTCTGGGTTGTTATTGAGACTCTTACTGCCATACTTAAATTTTTGTTGTAGTTACATGTACAATTTTTTTTTTTTTTTTTTTGATTCAGGAAATTGTACAGACAGTCTCAAAACCTATTCTTTGAATGGAGTTAGTGATTATAGGATATTTTTTTTTTTGGTGATTTACTTTGCCTTAGGACAATGTGCTTATGCTACTGTTTGTATCTGTGCAGGGAGACTCTGGAGGGCCGCTGGTCAGTGTGGAGCCCAGCAATCGGATGTTCCTGGCCGGGGTGGTGAGCTGGGGCGATGGCTGCGCACAGAGGAACAAACCTGGAGTCTACAGCCGGGTCACCAGCCTGCGACCGTGGATCAAAAATCAGACAGGCCTTTAGGGACACAGACACCTCTTGTACACTACTGGCTGGAGCCTGACCTAGGGACACCTGGTTTTGTCACCTCCTCCAGCAGCACACAGCCTCTAATGTGAACTCAAACCCTCCCTCTACCTCGAACTCCACTTGTGTGCCGAACAGCCAACAGGGGTTGGTTTAGCCCTTCGTAATCCCACATCTCAACTCCAAACATTGATTTCCGAGTGCAAGAGATTTCCCCTGGTGGGCACAGCTCCCACCAACAACTTGAATGATCAGTCATTCAAGATGGATATATCCAAGTTAAACTTAATCAATAAATTAAAAAAAAAAAAATTAAAAAAAAAGAAAAAAAGACAAACACATGGTCTGTTTAGAGGCAAACTGTATTGGGACAGGTTCAAAAACAAGCTTTCAGAATATATTCTGTCATCTTCTTCATTTAGTTTTCAAAGTGCCGTCCACACCCCTTTCTCTGGTCTTCAGTCTTTGGGGGGGAAGGGAGTTCTTGCCATGGTTTGGGAGATCCCCCTTGGGAATTCCACCCCCCACCTCTTCCGTCCCATCGAGCTGCGGGCCTGCAAGAGAGGAGTTGGGCATTACCACGCTCTGCCTTCACACTACGCTGCAGTCAAGCTGACACGTCCTCTTCTGAGCCCCAGCTGCCTGGAGTTGTGCTGTACTCACCACCTTCCTCTTCCTCACCACAAGGAGCAGAAGGGGCTTGCAAAATGCCGCCTTGGAGCTTCTCCCCTGCAAGGACAACACAGGTTAACTGTGCTAGACACCGGCCTCAGACCTTTCTTTTGTAAAGAAAAACGCAACAGTGACTTGGGAATGCACCCCTTTGATTCCTTTTTCCTGGGTACCCTATTCCTTGCCCTGAGAAGGGCACACTCCACAGGAGTTCAGTCAGCCCCTCCTTGCCTGTAAATACATTGTGTTTTGTAAAACTCTATGAAGTGGAGACGCTGTAATAAACTGGGATATTTTCTAATACTCAGCCTGTGCAGTTCTTCGTGAGCATCTGTGCAAGTGTCCCTGACCCTGGAAACCTGCATTTTCAGCATCCAGGGTGCTCCAGGAGCGATGCTGAGCAGGGTGGGTTGTTCTTTCTGCCGGAAACAGGAGGATTTAAATTGCTTTGCCATCTCACCATTCAGCTTCAGAGGCAGCACTGGCTGATGTATATTCCAGGGCGCAGCAGAAGCCGGACTGCAAGGGCTCACAGGAAGGTAGTGTCCCTGTAGAGAGATCCAAGGCATAAACAGAGTTAGGGAACATTTTTGTTATCTGTGCTTGCACAATGCTACAGCAACATAAAAAGTGTTTACTGCGGTCGCTCGCTGACCCCTGATCCTGTAGAGAGATCCAAGGCATAAACAGAGTTAGGGAACATTTTTGTTATCTGTGCTTGCACAATGCTACAGCAACATAAAGAGAAGCGTTTACTGCGGTCGCTCGCTGACCCCTGATCTCTGACACAGCGCTGGCATGTGGGTGGACACAGAGCAGCTGCCAGGGCGTCCCTGCGGCCGCAGCTCTGGCAGAGTTCTCAGCCCCACATTGGGCAGAAAAATGCTTGTTCCAGTACAGATTTGGCAGCAAACCTGCTCTCCAACCCGAGGACCGGGCACTGTAGGAACACACCTCAGGCTAAGGCACATTGCAGATTGTGCACAATTGCACGTTTCTCCCCTGAAGCTGGCCAGACTCGGTGCTTCTGTTTTCCCCAACAGAAGCAAGAAAGTTGCCACAGGCACAGCTTGCAGCTCTGAAGCAATCTGCTGCTTCTGTGTCCAAATCACCCTGTGCTAAGAGACCCCGCTGCCTGGGGCGCTTCCCTCCCCATTCGTGCAACTTTTCCTACCTCTGTCCAGACCCTCACTCCGTTCCATCGCTGGGGTGGACTCCAGGCATGAATGCAGAAGGCAGGTCCTGCGCTGGCTGTTCCTTGTGTGTAGGAGAGCTGTCTGCTCCCCACAGCCCAGCCCAGGCCGATGGCATCACTGCAACAGCAATGGGGAGAGAGAAAAGTCAGCCAAACCCCAGAACTGCTGCTCCCCACCTCCCAGTCCAGCTCATGAGACCAGAAGCCCAGCCTGGGGGTACAGTTGCCATCCCTGGGCTGGGACGCTGAAGAGTTTCCAGCTACACGGTGCCAGAGCAGGAAAAATCCACTCCAGGCACCCCAGCCCTAAATCACAGACACCGGAGACGCTGCCACACCAGCTGCCCCATCTTGCGGCAGATTTGGGAACACCAGTTCCTCCCAGTAGTACTCCAGGACCAGTACACCCCACCCAGTATGGCATTGCTAGCTAAATATATCACGTCCTGGGGATAACAAGGTCCTCCCCGAGCCACCGCACAGGGCATCTGACCCATTTTCTCCTCACTTGCAGAGGTCCCAGCAGCACACTCACCCCAAGTTTTCCGGCCTCCGATACGCCCAGTTGTGCCCACACCCCGCTGTGCCCTGGGGCGTTCCGTCAAATCCGTTACAGAACGGTCCTGCCTGGACCAGATGCAAGAGAAGAGGAGTAAAGCAGCTCACCTGAAGGCATTAAAGCCTGGCGGTCAGCACCCACACGTGGGGGAACCGCAGGGGGATGGTTTGTCGCCTGCTGAGCGCGAGATGCAGCGTTTCCTCGCTCTCCGTTGTGCCTGCACATGCGGCTCTGGAGCTGCCCGGGCCGGGCCAGGAGAGCACAGGAGATGTTTTTCCAGACAGAGGCACAAATCCCGTGAAAGCAAAACACAAAGCATGTTCAGACAGGTTTTGTTTTACCAAGCGCAGCATTGGCCACCGCAGCAAGGTGTGACCCAGTACCTCTTTTCCTCCCTAAAAGCCCTGATGATGGGCTAAGCACACGTGTGACATCATCAGATGGGTGAGGGAGGCAAGCAGAGACAAAAACGCCACGTTCGCTCTCGGCATCGCTTTGGACACGTGTTTCCTGTGCCTGTAACGCCAGAGGAGTCTTGTTTGGATTGCGGTCTTGAGGGCTCCAGCTTGGCAAAGGGATATCGAAGAAGCGGTCGGGAGAAGAGTCGAGAACATTAACAGAAGGCTCCACTATGGCTCCAGCATCGCCTTCCCCTTGTCACAGGAAGGCCAGCGCCCCTAAATCCACCTTGGCGGTTTGATAACCTGGTCTGGAGTATTTCTATTGTACAGAGGACAGAGCAAGTGCAATTGCCCCAGAAGAGGGAGGAAACTGGCATGACAATGCCCACCCCACCGCTGTGGGAGGGCTCCCTGCTTTAGAGGGGTGCGATAACCGCTTTGGTTCCCTCCACGCCCAGCTTTCGTGCTCACCGTCTCCAGAGAAGTGGTAGGTACCGACAGGGAGCTGCAACACCCTCCCAGCTAAAGCAAACTAATATTAGGGGTGTCCAAAACCTCCAGCCACTACACCCCGGCTCGTACAGGAGTCAGAAGTACTGAAGTGGTTCGCTGGCAGCGCCCAGTTCTCACCTTGGGTGCTGGCAGCTGGCACACAGGAGCCCCAGGAAGGTGTCTGGAGACTGAAGGAAAAGCTGCTTTCCCAAGAGGATCCCTTCTCCTTCTTCCTGGCAGCTGCCCCTCTCCATAAGACCTTCCTGCTACCTTCTAAGAGGCACCTCACAGGACCAGAGGTCTGGTGGCAACACAGATGCAGTTTCTCCCCCAGAGAAGCCCTGCTGTACCCCAACCTTGCCCAAGAACACAGCAATCTTTCCCCTCCGGCGCCTTCCTCCCTGCCGCTGGCTTATTGCGGCCTGTTAGAGCGAGAAGAGGAGGAGTGCCAAGAGAAGGATTTCAGGAAAAGGCAAAACACCAAGTTAAAGATTAGCCCTGCCTTGGGGAAGCTGGGAGACACACAAGGGGAGCTCTCGGTGACCTGGATGCATCCAAAACAAAGAGGTCCTTCTGCTAACACACAGCCATTTCGCAGGCGCGTTCCTCTCTGCGAAGGCAGACTCCTTCCTTCGGCACGCAGGTGATGACCAGCTAGTCTCCCACAGGCCCGACACGCCTTGTCACGACACAAGATTAGGACGGAAAACACCTCCTCGTTGGAGGACAGGCACCTCCAGAGAGCATCAGGGGAACCAGAGCCCCAACCAAGACTCACGCAGCACCAGGCGACAAACACGCGGTGACCTGGGTCCCCGAAGCAATCAGTACAGCAGGACTACTCAGAAACCTCAGCTCCTGCAGGAACCAGCTCCTGGTAAGGATTATAAAATCAATAAAAATACAAGAAATATTAATAAAAAAAAAGCAAGCCAGGTCCCCGAAGTCAGACCCCACTAGATGTCTCTCTCGGCCAAGGCACAAGGGCTCCTGAAGCATCACCAGGACGGAGGTCCAGGGAAGCAAAGGGGCAGGTCTGCAAGCCCCAGAGCCCTCTCCCAAAGGAGGCAGCCAAGAGGAGAAAGAAAGAATGAGTGGGCAGGGAAGGGAAACAAGCGTGGGCAGCGCTGGATGCAGAACCGAGCCAGGCAGCTCGCAGCAGCTGGCCTTGCCGACAAGGTGCCTAAATGAGGTACTTTGGGGGAAAAGCAGCTCTGAATCAGCCTGGAAAGTCCCATCCCTCACGTTAAAGGTTCAAGTCTAAGAGTTTGCTGATGGTCAGCGGCCCACTTGATTATTTTCCCCACCAGCAGTTCCCAAGCTGTTCCACCTCTGCCTCAGACGCACCAGAAAGAACAGCCCTCCACTTGTTTCTCTTAATGTGGAACCAGTTTTCAGACCCCAAATGCTGCGTTTCGCTTTCATGCGGTGCAGTTCTGGTACCACGGGATATAGGCAACGTACACCCAGCCCTAAGTTTGTACTCAGGGCTGGAAGGGGTGAAACACCACTGAACTGGGGATGGGAACTGTTAACAGTCACACCGAGAAGCGGCAACACCAGGGGTTTGTATAATCCGGCAGCAGCTTGGAGGTGGAGCAGAGTCAGACTTGTCCCCAGGCACACAAAATAGAAGAGGGTCTGACATTTGTGTCTCATTGCAGCGGTTGTCTTAGAA